CACACACACACACACACAAGCGAATGCATGCGCACGAGCACACACACCCACTCGCACACCTACACCCCCCCCTACATACACAAAATCACCAACGGATGCCATCATATACGGTCGCGAATTGTACCCTCTCCTGCTCTTTTGTGCCTAGAGCATTCAGCCATATGGCTGGGCCTGGACAGCCATGTTTGCCTCGTTCGCGCCGTGCATGTGCCAGAGATAAGTATGGAACTTGTAATGTACATGTGAAGGAATTCATTCGGGCCTGGCAGCACGCTTGTACAGGCTGTTTCGCTTTTGTTGTGTCGACACGCAAGAACCTGCCTGGCTGGCTGCTGGTGGGCCCTAAAGACAGTCAGCAACCTGAGCGCTGTCTGCCTCCAGAGAGCCATGCTGCTGGTACCCGCTTACAATGTGACCATGCTGCTGGTGCCCTTCGACATTCTGAGGTCCCGCTAGGTGACAAAAACAGCCAACCCCACACAATGTTATCCTCTTACAAATGCGTCAGTCGAAAGAGGAGGGCTTGGTGGCGTGCCAACCGCAACGGCGTGGATGCCCGTTTATTACCGCCATCCAAATCACGCCGCCAACATGCGGGCCTCTACTGCTGCTGCTGCTGCTGCTGCTGCTGCTGGCATGCCTCTCTGTGTACTGGCCACGCAGCCTTGGCACATGCCTCGCCACAATACCTGTGGTTGTTTGGAAGGTGGTGGGTCGCATCAAGAGGTAACGCAGTGAGGACTGATCAGTTTCCGCACACTAATCAACCGTTTTTGCTGCCTGCGCCTACGACGCAGGCGCCACACAGCGCACCGAGTTGCAACGTGCGCACCTGACGCTGCGGCAGCCGGCGCAGAGCTTGGGTGGCCGCCCCAGCTGAGCCTCTGTCTTGGCGCACATGGCGCAGGCCTTGGGCTGTCGCGGCAGCACGGCTGGCCCCTCTCCTCTGCGTTGCGACGTGCCAGGGGCAGCTGGCTCTTTGCCCTTTCCATCCCCACCACCGCAGCCGCCGCCAATGCCGCCGTTGTTGATGCTGGCGGCAACGCTGACAGCCCCTCTGCTGCAAATGCTGCTGCTTGTGCCAATGCTGCTGCTGCTGTTGCTGCTGCTGCTGCTGCTGCTGCTGCTGCTGCTGCTGCTGCTACCTCCAGCGCCGCCGTCGCTGCCGCCACTACAGCTGGTGCCAATGCTGCTGATTGTGGTGCGGCCGCCACCTCCACCACTGCCGTCGTCGCCGCCGCTGGTGCCAATGCCGCCGCTGCTGCCCCCGCCGCTGCCACCCTCAAGCGCCGCCAGCGCCGCCGCGGCCTCGCGAGCAACGGCCGCGTCTTCCATGCTCGCGAGCCCGGCCAGTGTCAGCCGCAGCAACCTCGGGGTCGCCGACGAGATGTACGCGTCGCCTCTTTTGAGGGCCGCATCGACGCTGGCGAGGGCCGCCGGCACCTGGTGCCTCAATGCTGCCTGCACCTCGTGCCTCGCTGCTGCCAGCACCACGCCTGCGGTCGCGCACAGTGTGCCGTCGTGCTTGCTGCCCGCAGCGGCGGCGCAGAGGCCGCTCAGCAGCCCGGGGTGGCGCAGGAGCGCAGCCGCCGCCGGGCGCTCTGTCAGGGTAATGGCGAAGGCGACGGCGACCTGAGTGCCCTGGGCGTTCGTGCGGCTCGACAGTGCTGCGGTCAGCACGTCCAGCGCCCAAGTGGCCTCGCTCGGGAACCGGGCATTTGCGCCGCTGCAGGGCTGCGCCGTCAGGTGCAGGTGGAGGGCACCCGCCGCCGCCCAGACGGCCGCATGCAGCGAGTCATCATCGTCGTCGGCCGGCGCAGCGGCGGCGCGCAGCGCGCCCGGCGCGCCCAGAGCGAGGAGCGTGGCCGCCTGTTGGGGCGACTCCAAGGTGCACAGCAGGCTGCCCACGAGCCTGCAGTGGGTTCGGGGTGCGTGCGGGCCAGATTAGTAGACAACCAACTTAAGTCGCTGGCATGGCATAGGGATTGACTCAAGCACGGCGCAAAAACTTGGCGAAAGGACGCCAAGGCCACGCCACGCCAGGTGCGCCGAAGGTGGCTGTCGGCATGCACTCACGCTGTGCTGGTGTTGTCGCGCTTGCGCAGGGCCGCGACGGAGATGGGCGCCAACAGAGGCAGCGCCCACATACGGACCCTGTGCCCCGCGGCCTTGTGAAGGAAGCGCAGCGCAGCCCTGCTGACTTCGACGTTTGCCCCGCCTGCCGCGCGCACCACCTCTGACAGCAGCCCAGGGTCGCCCAAGCCACCAACTCCGATGCTGGTGGCGCCGCTGCCGCCACCGCCGCCGCCGCCGCCGCAGCTGCCGCCGCCGCCACTGCTGACGCGGGAGCTGCCGCTCTCGCATTGTCCGTCGGCGACCCCGCCGGTGTTGTCGTAGACCTGGCGCCTGGCAATCAACCGAGCCGCTAGGACCCCGCCGGCCTGCGGCGAAGCCTTTGGTAGCAGCACGATCAGCAACTCCAGTGCAGGCATGGCACGGGCGCCGTGCAGCGTGCCTCTCAGTGCGATTAACACGCCCGCATGGGCGGCTGCCTCCTTCCTGGCGGCCGGCAGGGCACACAGCGTTGCGAGCCATTTGCGCGCTGTGCAAAACTCGAAATCAGAGCCGCTCACGAGCAGCAGCGCCGCCACTTCCAAGGCGCGCCCCAAAGCGCCGCGTCTAGCCGCAACATCGACGGCCCGCACCAGATCCTCGGACGGGATGCTCCCCGCAGCGGAGAGGTGGGACCAACAAGACATGGCGGACAGCGTATGAGGGCGCTCGGCGGTAGTGGCAATCAGGCCTAAGAGTGCTCCAGGCTGCGCCGCGGCCTCTGCGGCGACGGCCGCAACAGCAGCGCCCGGGCTTGCTGCGCGGAGCAGCGCGTATAGGATTGCTGCGGCGCAGCCGCGCTCTATGGCGTCGCCGCCCAGCAGCCGTCCCATGGCGGCAGCCACCCCCGGCACCTGAGGGGCAGGTTGGCGGCCGGTGTTTCGTTGGCCAGCGGCAGGACGCGCTATGCATGACCGGAGTTGGTTGGCACCGCACGCAGTGGGGGTGGGTGGGACGGAGGCGCACCACGCCGCAGGACGCTGCCCCTGGCACTGTCTGTGACCGCAGCAGGCACCGCCCAAGCAGGGGCAGGCAGGCCGGTGCTCCCACCTCGGAGATTGCAGTCCGCAACGGGATGCGGGTCTCGTCGGTCGGCAACGCTGACATCACAAATGCTAAGCCCACCGCCGCCCGCTTGGCCAGCAGGGGGTCTGGGGCGCACAGAGCGGGCGCCAGCGCCTTGGCTGCTGATAGAGGCACCACAGTGGCCCACGAGCCCGACTTCGACGTGATGAGGCTGCACATGGCGTGCGCGGCAGCAACATAAGCCCGGTTTGATTCCGGCTGGGCCACGTGGTGCAGCAGACGAGCAAAGTCGGCCGGAGTGACGCGGCTCGTGTCGGTGCTGCGGCACAGACGCGCCGAAGCAGCGTCCGCCTGGGCGAGTTGCCCCGTGTCCAGCGCAGTCAGCAGGGTTTGCAGGTGCACTGCAGCATCATTGGACCGCGCCATATCACAGTACAGCGTCTGATCTGTCGTGTAACCGGGACCCGACGCCCAGGTCTACACTGATACACGGTGTTGCTGGTGCGCGGCCGACAAAACTAAAGCAGCACGCGCGGTGAATCGTGATTAACTTGGAAGTTTGCATGTGTGTACGTATGCTGAAGTATTTTGTATAGTTGAGGTATATTAGCATGCAATGCCAGTGTCCGCTATTGACCACATGGCATGATGGCCCAGCCCCGCAGCGCCCGGTGTTGCTGCACGCTACCGAGTGCAGTGCAGTGCGCAGATTGGCAAGATGGGGATGCGGTGAGTGGCATCGCTAACAGCTTGTTGCTAGGGCGATATTTGGACCGCCGCCGCAAGGGAGATCCGCTGTCAACCTTCGCTGCCCTAGGGTGTTCCGGCGGTTGATTGGGTTGGTTCAGGTGTTGGCACTCACTTGCTGAGCTGTCCACCTCCCAAGACCGTGGTAAAACGTCAGATATGCCGCCCAGGCGGCAGCGCCATCACAAGCAATGACCTTGAGCACCAGAATCCCTTGCCCCCCCCCCCACCCAATCAAATGAGCGCTCCTGTTGCACGCGTCACGCAAGCACCTGCAACAACACCCGCGGCCTCCTCCTTCCAAACTCCAGCATCAGTTCTGACCTCCAAGAGATTCAAGTGCAACAGTGATGCCGTTTCAGAACGCGTGCACCACAAAGCAAGCAAGTGCCGCAGTTCACAGCGGCTTGATGGCTCGCGATGGCGACCGTTGTGCAGTGACGACACGTCGCCCTCCACGCGTGGGTTGTGCGGAAGCACGATTCGGTACGCCGTCAGCGCCATGGCTCACACTGCAGCAAAGCATGGCTTGCATCTGAAGCTTGAGGTCGTGCGTCGAAAGGGTTGCGGTGTGGGTGTGCGCCCAACCTCGTAGCTTGTTTGTTTACAGGCAGGGACGTGATTGCGGTGCGCTCTGAGCGCTGGGCCCCACACCTTGGAACTCACAGCTGACGAGGGGCCTCAGGTGCGTAGAAAACCTTTGCAAAAGCATCATGACAAAAGCCCTGCGGCGCCCCTCGCGCCACCAAAAGTACCAGACGACGCGCCGCATGCCGTCCTGCGCTGCGGCGCAGCTCCTAGACACATCCCGCCACCCGCGGCGACCCAGCTGGGATGTGCGCGGCCCAGGCCTGGCGGCATTGGGGGCCCTCCAAAGTGGCCGTGCTGCCTGGCAGGGCTGCCGCCTAGCGCCCCCCAACGGGGCGGAGCGTGGCCTTCGTGGTGGGGCCGGGGGCCAGGAGCAGGCTGATGGGCGTGATGCGGTAGTCGTACTGTGTGTGGCCGGGGGGGGGGGCAGGGGGAAAAGGCGGGGCGAAGGCGAGGTCCCTGGCAGTGAGTCCCCGGCAGAGGGTGGCGGTGGAGCTTCAGCCATACACATAAGTTTCAAGCCATGGCACACTTGATTTCCTTCACACACTCCTGAACGCACGCCCACACGCACGCACCCATACCCCCCCTTACACACAAACACACAGATACGCACGTGCACGCGCGCATGCGCACACTCTCGTTCTCATAAAACCACACACTTGCGCGCGCGCGCACACACACACACACACCAAAATAGAACGAAACAAAACAATAGCTTGCTTCACGTCAGGGGAGAAGCTTGGCTTTGCAAACAACCCGGCAGCGCCGGCGGGGCGTCTGGCCGCAGCCTGAGCCCCCGCTGCGCCGCGGGCGCGCCCAAGGGCGACTCTTGGACATGTCGCTCGTTGTGCAAACGGGCTCAGATCTCCATACAGAGCCCTACCAACGTACAACCACTCCCCCACCTTCGTGTTGTCGCGGATGCGCACGCGTGCATCGGCATCACCAGACAGCTGCCTGCTCAGCAGCCTGCCAGTGCGGCTATCGAAAGACTCAATTCTGTGTCGGGGGGAGGGGGGAGGGGGGGACGTGAGCATGGCACATAAGGCTCATTCACGAACGTGGGGAGGTATGCTTTACCTTCCTGGTGATCAACAGGACATAACGGTGCTGCAAATACCTACAAAGCAAAACAAAACACACACACGCACCCCCACACACACACTCGCATGTGCGTGCATACGCAGGCGTGCACACGCGCATGCGTGCACACACACACACACACACACACAAACACACACACACACACAAACACACACACACACACACACACACACACACACACACACACAC